AGCGCAATTTATGTTGCATTCCAGTCGCATAAACGAAATAAAATATGACTAAGCACTAAATTTCAACAACTGCAGGTGCACACTTGAGCATATCACGTGTCATGCACATGGAGGAAAACATTTTCATTTTTCTGCAACTTATTTTAAGAAAGGATGGAATGGAATTCTCTCCGCAAATGAGGATCGTGTCAAAATACAAATTTTCAGCGGAAAGGAGAAGGTTCAAACAATATTCCTATAGAGCTTTAAATTCGCTGCAGAATGTCAAAATAAAATTAACGAAAAAATTATAAATTATATATAAATGTTTCATATATTTAGGCTTGAAATTTAGCGTACGACACGATCAGAGGGGTACAGTTTAGCACACAGGGAAAGCAGCTTCCTTCAGTTCGATTCCATCCAAGACATCCTGTTTTGGCAGACAGTCTTATATTCACCACAGTAATTTTACCGACGACGTTTCATGTCATGGAGAAATGATCATTGATGAAAAAGACGGAGCAGCGAAGTAGGTGTTTGTTACCGAGAGAGTCTGTGAAAGATGGATGCTCAGAATTTCGCTCTGCTACTGCATCCCCAGTTTACGGCAGACAACTATAGCTAGTCTGGTTCAGTGACTAACTATAGGCAGCGGCTATGCACTGGATATCCACAAGATCATGCTCGATTACCTTCTGGAAAACACTTTTACAGTATTAAGTATTGATATGAATTGGGTCTAGTGGAAGTCTAGCATCAACTAACAAGGCGTCTTTCGTATTGGCTCGAATATGAAGTGATTTCGTGGGAATATTTTCCACTGATATATTCTACTGTCTGCTCACAGGCATGTTTTGAAGTTGTTCAATGTTTAGGGTATTTGGGTCATGTTTTTGTAATCATATGGGAAAGCGGCATAGAGGCGATTTATTTTAAACCAAACTCTGAAGGTAGTCAGTCAGAGCATTGACCGATACGGATAGTTTGGTCCGTATTCAAAGTCCAGTGCAATACGTGATATCCGAGGTTAATGCATCAGGCAATCCAGGAAGAGTACACCCATGCAGGAATAGAGGTGTTAATCATCCAGTCCCGCTACAGGGGATACATGCTGTTCGCGTATTGGATGAGTCTCATTTTGCGTACTGTTCGCAAGCTTAATCTGCAGCACCGACCGAAAATTCGCCACATAGCTCCAAACGCTTCACCTGCAGCAGACTACCCAATCACCTGTAAACTCTATCAGCACCTTTACGTTGAACAGCCGTGGGATACAGCCCGATGCATCGATATAGGTTAATTATCTTATTGATCACTTTTTAAGTTTTGTGCGTAAATAAGTCATACTAATGTTATTTTTCGATGACAGTGTTTTTCTATCTCGGCACGAATTATGTCTGAATGTAGTTATTTCATTTGTATCAACCATGTGCAACAATCACAATTGTACCGTAAGCATCGCTTCAATCAGTCAATGCATTTCCATGAGCTTATCCATTAGGGCCGTTGAAGAGCGGCGTTAGACAACGTCTGCAAAGTTCCCGATCCTGCACCAGCGTCTGCGCTTAGGCTAACCATAACCCGAGTCTGGAAGGAAGTCCGCTGGGATACTTGTCCCAGT